ACACACACACACACACACACACACACACCCATGCACACACAGACTTCTTCAAAAGACTTCAGCTTTTGCATTTATTGAAGAATAAAATATGAATGTTTAATATATTTTGAGAAATCAAACATATTTGAAAATATGAACAAAGAATTATTTAGATAATAATAATATAAATAACCAAGCAGGTTTGAAAGACACCCAGAGAAGCCTTCTAGAACAGAAAAGCAAAATAATTGAAATTAAAATTCTCTTGATGGATAAAAGCATCATATTAGATAAAGATAGAGAGAAATTTAGTGAAAAGGATGATAGCATTGAAGAAATTATCAAGAATGTAGGTCAGAGAAAGAAAATATCAAAAATATAAATGGCAGTTAGACATAGAGGCTATACTGAGGGTGTCTAAGATAATAGACTAAGGAAGAGGTAATATTTGAAAGGATAATGGCTAAGACTTTTCAAAAGTGTTGAAAGATATAAAAATTCAGATCAAAGAATTCTAATAAATCTCAAGCAGGAAATTTTTTACAAAAATCATATTTAGACACATCATTGTGTATAGAACACAAAGCGGAGATCTTAACAAAACCAGAAAGAAGAAAGATCATCTATATAGGAATGGCTATTAGACTGACAATTGATATTAATTTAAAAACAACTGGAATTCTATACCCAGAAAAATTAGTAAGAGCAAAATAAAAACATATTCAGACAATCAAAAACAGAGAGAATGCCATCAATACAACCTCAATAAATGAAACTGTAAATAATGCACTTTAGGCAGAGAAATATTTACTGGAGATAAAGACCACAGTTGCAAAAATAATGGTTTAAAAATTGCCTGCATAGAACAATAATAGCTAATTTAGGATTGAACAATATAAATTCAATGTAAATATGATTGCCATTATAGAGTCCTGCTATTAGGTTCTTTCCTTTCCAAGGAAAAAATCTGAACCTTTTTTCATTAGTATCCTAAATACAATGGACATAAAAACTGCTACTAAAAAATTTAGTAAACCAGAGAAATAAAATTCAGAAGTCTTGAAAGTGTAGATACAGTGCCCCTGCCCCCGCAACTGTTACCTGTTATGAAGTGCATTGCATCTAAGGCAGACTCA